TTGATCGTGTAACGTGATGCCTTAGCTTCATCGTCAGGGTGCATTTCTTGTAAAGCTACGACGTAGTTGTGACGATTCTTGAATGTTCACATAAAGTAATCATATTTCGTGCGTGATATGCCACCGATACTGAATTGGTATATGCAAAGTTTAGGGCCAATAGTTGGCCTTTAGTGGCTTTAGGGGGAGGGGGTATGGCAGAGTCTGATTCTTATAATCCCTGCAGGAGAGAGTATTGTTCAGGAAGCCCTGAGTAATGTCTTCAGTATTCTTGTTTCGCTGATTTGACAACGTTAGTTTGCCTTCCGGGAGAACGCTTAACAGGTGAAGGCTGTCGTTATTCTACCCGGCCTTGGTCGCTGTGGAGGGAGTCTGGATGTCCGTATTAATAAAAGCTTATGATTCTGGTCATATGTACCGCTTCCATATTTTACAGGGCATATGCTTCCGCCCACTTTCTGAGATAGTCCGGTACGACCAAGTTGTACTTATTTCCTGACGCTGTCTGTTCAGACGGACAAAGAAACTCCATTCCATCACGTTTCAGCGGATATCCCGTGTTCAACGACTGTAATGGAACTTTGTGGTTTGTATTTCTGATGCTTGCGAGTCCACCAGATTTGGAAATCTTCGCGTAACGAACGCCTTTCACGTATTCTCGATAGACCTTTTTAAAGCCAAAGCAGTCATCATTAGAACTGCAATGCATTTCAATACTTCCTGCCGAAGTATACGAGATGAAGTCTGCTGTTGTTCAGGTGCGGTTCTTCGGATTGCTTGAACAAGAGTCTCTTATATTATCAGCACTAGTTTTCGATTTCACAGTGTGCGTAACTTTCCACTCCTTTCGAGAAAATCATAGGGGCCAATTTTAGGATTGTGACTACACTTTAACCTGGCCTATGTCCGTATCGCGTCTCGTATTATCTGCGATTGTTCTTTTGTCAAGGCGGAACGTATTGTTGGCAAATTTTGGTTTGGAGTTTTGCTTCTTTCACGTACCGCTTGATTTTGATGGCTTTAGAAGCCAGGGCACTGTTTGCACCGTTGTAGAGATAGGGAACCAGCATTATCGTCCACTCGACTTTGTCGATATTCGATAACGAAGTCTAGTTCGGTCAGCCTTTCAACCAGTGAGCTACTTGCCTTTTTGGCTCACGGAAGTTTCACAGCCAATGGAGACACTTGTGATCAGTACGAACTCTGTCCGTAAAGGAAAGGTCGAAATCCTCGCAAGACCCACACTGGAGCAAGCATTTCCTCTTCTCGTTGCACAATAACTATGCGTCGATTTCGTCGGCGATCCTCAACCTGAGCCGACACTGCTCAAACACCTTATTCTGAACGTCTGCAATGAACTTGTGGTCGAAATGAGGGTCTTTTAGAATTGGCGCGTTGGTGAATCGTCTCTTGAACTTGTCAAAGCTCCCTCACACCCCGGGGTCTCCACCCACTTTACAAGTTTATTAAGCAGTTGATGTAACGTTCCCGTTTGGCTCACAAATGTTCGGTAGTACGATGCTAGCCCAAGGAATTGTTTTAAAGTTCAGTATGACAGTGGATGCTTTTCCAGTCAGGAACACAGCAGTACTTTTCTTTGGGTCGGTGGCCACACCTTGGTCTGATTTCACAAGTCCAAGGTGATTAATGCTTCGACGCGTCAGCGGGCATTTGTTTTGTTTCATTTTAAACGCCGCTTCCTTTTAGTGGCTGTGCACGTTTCTTTAATCTTTCCATATGTTCCCCTACTGTACGTCCACAGTTACGTCCACAAGCATCCGTCGTCCATTGCGTGCCACTTAGAACCGATTCCTTGACTCGTCGGAGCTGGGAACCTCGTGGAACCGACCCTCTTCTGTACAAAAACAAATGGGGCAGAACCATGGGCTATAAGCATATGTGATCATCTTGTTCCAGAGCGTGTCATCGGCCATTCGTTTCGCTTCCTATCGATTGTAGCATACCAGCCGTCGAGGTGGTAGCTTGAGCGGTTGCATTCCTCCCGTATCTACAGAATGCTTTATGAGTGATACTCTGTCAACGTCTTCATCTGGCGTAGCTACGATGTCTTTCAACTCCCAAAGTAAATTTGTAAATTTTGTCCTTGCCGCAGAGCGGATTTCACTTTTATTGGACAACATCTAATCAATTACTGGCCCGTAGCGGTGCTGGGAACAGCTATTACTGGTTTCAGCTACATTCGCAGTTGGAACTTGTAGAGGAATCGAACTTAGCGTACCTAAGGTCACACTTTTGTACAGATGGACCTTTGTAAAGGAGCTTATCCTGAATTTTCCCATTTCGGAGAAACTTAACGAACGCGGCGCTTGACTCGTAAATGCCATCATATGGTTCTCTGCTTCGCACACATTCGTTAAATGGAGTTATGACTTGGAGTTGGAACTTTGTTACAGCCATTCCGAACGATCTCTGAGGTGAGCTGCACGAATTCTCCGCCGTCTTGCAGCGTACCTTTTTGCAATAATAATGACACAGCCATGCCGCTGGAGAAAATGTGCTCCGATGAGGCAGTGGTGTGCCAGCTGTCGAACAAGCAACATGTTGTGCTTCGTAGTGATACATTCCCCAAGGGATATCGTTGCTTTGGCGTTTACCGATTCAGTGAGTAGCTCGCAGTTTGAAGAACGACCGCCTGCAAAATGGTCGTGGTCGCCGCTTTTGTTACATCGCATACCTGATCGAGCTGAATGAGAATTATGGTTTTCTCTCTGTCACCCTGTCGAGTTTTTTAATACTCCGGTAGTGCCACTGGAACCAGTGATCCGAATTGCCTCAATTTCTCTCCTCCTTATCTCGAGCAGCACACATTGCAGCCTTCATACTCCGTTGAGACGGTTCTGTGGGTCCAGAATCGGTACTCGTCACGGCTGGAGT